TTTCCAACCTAGATGATTCTATGATTCTATGATTCTAAGCATGGCTTATAGCGTGGGTTCCAGGTAATTAGCTGGCTGAACAGCATCGCAGGCTCTGAGGGGCTGTCTGCCCTTGATTGCAAAGTTATTGCTGCATTCTGGTGAAGCATGTGCAGCATTCATCTGGAAGATACTGGGTTGCTCCGTGTAGTAAGGTGGTTTCCTTTCTCATAGCCTTGGCTGAATAACTTTTCCATAGGAAGTGTGGGGAATAATAAATAAATAAATAAATGTTCTCTTTTAAAAATCACTGCAAATATATTGCCGCCCAAACATACTGGCATGAACAAAGCTGTATTTCATGTGGCTCTGGCTTTGAGACCTCTGCTCAGTCTGTTCTCCTGTGAGATTGGCCATAATACAGGTAAAAATGAGTTAAAACTGTTGTTTTTGTTACAAGGCTGAAGAGGAATGAATCTTCCTCCTCCGTCCAGAACTACTTTCATTTGGATTCTCTTCAAAAGAAACTCAAGGACCTTGAAGAGGAGAATGTTGTGCTTAGATCTGAGGTGAAATTGCTCCCTTTGTTTTGCATAATACAGTTGTTCATTTAAATGCTAGAACACAGGTATTGAGAAGTATGTATTAAAAGTTGAGAGAGTCTAATTAAGAGTATATAATTCCACATGTGACACAGATCTCTTTGTAGTTGTTTAATCACCATCCTTTATACTTCTAAATGAAGGAAATGCTGGAACATGGAAGCTACATGAAGCCACATGCAAAGCAGTTTCCTTGACAAAAGAATGTGCAGGAGCGTGGGCAGGTTTTGGAGTACAGCACTGCACTTTGAAACAGGTTTTAAAGGGCTGACCTGGTAGAAATGGGTGATGTTAGCTGCAGATCTGAAGTTTGCAGGCTGGCATGGTCTCTCTGGTACAAATTCAGTGTTTGTCAAAATAAAAATTGCTAGTCTAAATTTGCATTAAATGTCTTCAATTTGCGTTTCAAGTCAGGCTGTTAATATCTGAAGTTGAATGTTTTTCTTACCTTTTATTTCTGACAATATCCATTTGTTTCACAGACAACATGTTTTCTAAAATTTTATTTACTGTTCCCTGTCTATTAGAAGTAACGCTTCATAGTTGAATATCGTGTGAATAATTTTATATTAATTTTCAATGCAACTTTTAATCTTTGGGAGCATGTTACCATTTTGCAAACATGTAGAAGAGTGTAACAGAAGAAATACTTTGGGGCTAAGAATGAATGTATGAAAACAAGAGTATCATTAGCATTTTCTACTGCAAATGCAGGGCCCACTGCAAGGTAGTGTCACATCTTTGGACAAGACACAACATAATGGAGAGTGCTGTACACTTCATTGAGAAGTTGCTCAAGGAAGATGAGCAATGGTTTGAGAGTAATGAAGGTAGAGTTAGAACTGAGAGGGCCACTGCATCAGGAGCTGATAGGAGAACCCTGTGTAGCACTGACTTCCAGGGACATGCAGTCTGTGCCAGCGAGGCACAGGGTGGAGCCAAATCTGAGACCTCTGAGCTACACGTGTCTACAGATGCAGCCTGTGGGTGTCTGTGCATGCCCCCAGCATTGGGAATAGACTACAGACCCACCAAAGTCATGCCAGACAGAACCAGCTGGGTGTAGTCCGGCTCGTCTCGGTGCTCCTAGAATCGTAGCAGAAAACACAGAGCAGGGGAAGGAGGTAGCACTGAAGTTTTATGTGACATGTACGGTTACAGTGGCAGAACGTTTCTAATACTATCTGAATGTTTTTTAAATACTTGAATGTTTAATTCAATTATTTAAACCAAGCATTTAATTAGTTTGTGATGATACCTAGCTTTGTTCTGGTGACCGGATCAAGCTCTGCATACTAGTCTTTGGAATGTTCAGGGCTTTTTTTTTTTTTTTTTTTTAGCATATAATATGCACGTGACATCTAGTGGGGATACGGTGATAACGATGCACATTTCTCCATGCAATAATGTCTCTGCATGTTGTCTCTGAATGTTCGCGTGCCCCCTTTTTCCAGAACACAAGGGAGGGGAGCCAAAAATTGTAATTTCTGACTGTCTTCCTGGAGGAGTGATTAGAAAAGCTTGTCTTTCTGAATCAGATGGAAGTGCAGCAACAGACTGGCAAAGAACAAATGTGCTAATGTAGAATATCTGATGTGGATTTCTTGAATAGGCCTGTCAGCTGAAGACTGAAACAATTACTTACGAAGAGAAAGAACAACAGCTTGTCAATGACTGTGTAAAAGAGCTAAGTATGTCCTTATTTCTTTCCCTTCTGATTCGAGATTGTTCAGTAAAAAAAACAAAAAGACAACTGAGATCAGTCAGTTGTGTTTTTCTGTGGTATTAAAGAAAATTTCTGTCTGAAATTTCACAGCAGAAAATTCTGTCTGTAAGCTAAATCTTTCTCAGTTGCAAAGTAGTTCTGCATAGAAAATGTTATTGTTAAGGGAAAGTACAGTCTCCTTTGCTGCATTGAGCACTTTGTGTCTTTCTGTTTTTGTGTCCTACTGCTGTTTTTCAAAAATACCTTGCTATATTGGGGAAGGATTCTGCTGAATCAAGTGATGTTTCAAAAGAACATCTTTCTGCTTACTTTTCTGCTTTGGGGTTTGTAATGTTAATTGTAATCACTTATCTTAAAGGGGATGCAAACATCCAGATTGCCAATATCTCCGAAGAGTTAGCAAAGAAAACCGAAGATGCTGCCCGGCAGCAGGAAGAAATCACCCATCTTCTTTCTCAGATAGTCGATCTGCAGAAAAAGGCAAAAGCTGTAAGGAATCCAGTTGCAAGACTACTGTTGTGATTTGCTACTATTGTAGCTGGAAGACAAGTTACAATCCTCTGTATACTAGAGCCTAAAGGAAGTTTTCCACCCTCCTTATCTGGGTGACATTGTTTGATGTTTAATATCTAGCGTACTTGACTAGAAAACATCAATTTATTAAAAGATGCGTATATGATATGTCAAATACAATAGTTAATATTAGATGTGAAATTCTGCATTAAACTTAATGACTTTGGTAAGATAATGTCAGTACAAATATTTCAGTGGGCACATACTCGTTAGTTTTAGGGTCTTGGAGGTTCATTTAGCAGGGCACAGAGTGATGCTGGGTGTTCTTGTGTTAACATTTTAAAGTGTTGTCTATATGTTTTTAAACTAACACGCGTGGACTAATATTGCTGCAGAGAGGGTCTTGAGACAAGTTGGAATTTTCCTACTTACCTGTAGTACAGGATACAAACATCATCACAGGACAAAACATCACAGTATTTCTAATATTTTGGGCATATTTTAGTGTGCAGTTGAAAACGAGGAACTTGTCCAGCATTTGGGAGCAGCTAAAGATGCCCAGAGACAGCTCACAGCAGAGGTGAGTACGTTACTTAATATTACAATAATTTAGTAGTAGGGCAATGGCTGTTCACTTTACCATGGGAGTTTTAGTCTAAGCTGGGTCAGAAGTATTAAATAATTTGGTCTATGTATATGGAATGAAGGAACATTTATGTTCCTGGTAGAGTTCAAAACTTTTCCTTCCTGTTCTCTTCTCCTTCAGCTGGCACACATTTTGAAAAACTGAGGCTTATGGGCTATATAGGAACCCCTTTAGAGGTTGACTTCTCTAGACTGGTAGTTTAAGCCTATTTTGACTAGTGAGATAACATGGAAGAGCTCATTTGTACTGTATTTGTTCAGCAAATAAACTGAAGACAGTCCAGGATTGCTGGCTGTCCTCTGGGTGCTACATTCACATGAACAAAACAGATAAAACAGAATGAATAAAGCTTGATCCCCTTAAGATGTGTCTTGCATTTGGAATACTTCATGTTGAAGGTGGGAATGTCCATAGAAACTTCTGCTGATGAGACTTTTGTATCTGTGGTGCTCCACAAAGATTGAGCTCATGATTCTCCATCCCTTTCTTGGAAGAGACATTAACAGGATCTGTTTCTAAGCCAAGTAGCTTATTTTTATGAAACCTGTAGGAATGTGGTATTTCAGACTTCTGCCCCTCTGCCAAACTTGGTTGAAATGGTTTATGAGTGCAAAAACTGTGAGGGTACACAGACATCTGCAGACGGAGTGTTTACATAAGATGTATTTCCTGTGAAGGTCAAGCTAAAAATTAAGGGATGGTCTTAGGCTGTTGGGGGTTATATGTATATATATGTATGTATGTAAGTCTTGGTTTTAAAGTTCCTAAGTCCTTCGGAACACTGTGAAATGTCTTGTCCTTTTCCCCTGCTGTTTTCCACTGTGGTCATCGTGGCAGTAATTAGGCACTATACCTGACCAGGCTAAAGATACTTTTAGCTCTGTATCTTGTCCTCGACAGTGGCTTCATGTAGATATGTAGGATAGGAAATAGAGCAAGCAGTTCCATCCCCCAGGCCCTTTCTGTTACTAATCCATGTGATTTATTATTTTCAATCATATTCACTCTCTGGAGTTCTTTTCCTTTAAAAT